TTCCTTACCGGACCCAAAGGGTCCTACTAAACGTACCAAACCTACTCCCACCCTCTGACCCTTTCCCCTTGAAACTCCCTTGACCTCAACCCTTCTTCCCAAACCCTCTTACCCTAATAATAATAGATAAAGTTCCAAAGCCCTCTAACCATCTAATCCTGTCTGATGTAGTGACTGACTCATGGCCCCTTTGATTCCTGTTTTAATTCTTTGAATCTGTAATACTGACCTTCTAACCTCCCTCCCCCCTTACATATTAAAACCTTGATTCCTTAAATCTTTGATACCACTTACCACCTCCCACACCTCCTGACTGTTTCCTCCCCATCATCCCCAACCCCAAAACCTCACTCTTCCAGTATGGGATGTTCTGACAACTCCCCGCCCCCATGTCTTCCAATGTCCTCCCCTGTCCCCTCCTTTCCTTTCTCTTTATATGTCCCCTCTGGTGATCTGGTCTGTCTGCCTCTTTACTTGACTCTTTTTCTTCTTCTGTGAGTCGCTCTTTTTCTGTCTACTTCTGTCATTTTCTTGGTCTCTGATTCTTTGACATCTGTGTCCTCTCTCCTTCTCTGACTGTATCTGTCCATCTGATTCCTCATCTCTTTTCCTGGCTCCATCTCTCCCTTTCCCTGTCTTTCTCCTGCCCTTCTTTCTCCGTGGCCCGGGCCCCAGTTCTGAACCAGCTGGAGGAGTTGCTGAGCGACATGAAGGCGGATGTGACCCGCCTGCCAGCCACGCTGTCCCGAATACCCCCCATCGCAGCCCGCCTTCAGATGTCCGAGCGCAGCATCCTCAGCCGGCTGGCCAGCAAGGGCACGGAGCCTCACCCCACACCGGTAACCCTCTTTCCCCCGACTCATTTTCCCTGTTGGTACTCCTCCTGCACACATATAAACACTTCCTTCAGAGTCCTATACAATGTGGAAAAACAACTTGCTCGAACACACTCATCAGCCTTGAGCCTCCCTGCCTGTATGATACCCCTCAGTAGTTCTGGAGTTTGGCCCATGATGTCTCCCCTACAGCTTCTTTTCTCTCAGACTGTGGACCCTCTAACTTGGGCTCGCTCTCTCTTCCAGGCCTTCCCCCCGGGTCCATACGCTACACCTCCGGGGTACGGGGCGGCCTTCAGCGCCGCACCCGTAGGGGCCCTGGCCGCCGCAGGCGCCAATTACAGCCAGATGCCTGCAGGGTCCTTCATCACAGGTCAGCTGGTGACTTCCTGCCTCCCACTTCTTGCACTCCTCCTTTTCCAAGCTTCATCCCTGCTCAGCTACCCTTTTACTCATCTAGCCCATCTCATTTCCTTGGAAAGTGTTTTATGGAATGGAGTAGTTTCGGGCTTTGTGTTTTCCATCTCTTTCTTCTCTTTCTTTCCCATCGTCAGAAACTTCATCCAGATTTTTAGTGGTTCTGTGCCTTGGCATCTCTTACCCAAGCCTCCTCTGTCTGGGTTACTTCAGGGAAAAAGAATATGAAATCAGAAAGGGGGTTTAAAGTTGCAACATGTGTTCCATCACGCATATGATGGGGAATCTCAGGGAGAGGGGTCTTTCCTGGTCGCCCCATCCCTACCCTAGAAAAGTGGAAGTGGCATGAGGTGACCTAGAAGGAAGAACATACACTGTGGTCAGGAAGCGATCGATGATGGGGAGTGAAATAGGGACTGACCCTTCCTTACCCACTTCCCAAACAGCCGCCACCAACGGCCCTCCAGTGCTGGTGAAGAAGGAGAAGGAAATGGTGGGGGCACTGGTGTCAGACGGGCTGGATCGGAAGGAGCCCCGAGCCGGGGAGGTGATCTGTATAGACGACTGACCGGATCCCAGGCCTGCCCTTCACCCAGGCCCCGTCCCCGAGGCCGACCCCCAGCTCAGGCTCTGGGGCCTGCTGCCAGTCCTCCGCCTTCCCCACCCCTTGGGCCGTCACTGGGCTAGGAGACCCTTTGCCTCTCTACAACTCTCTTCAAGAAGGGCCCTTTGTCCTCCAACCCTTGCACCATTCCCACCGCGCTTTGATGATTGTGCTGGTGAGAAGAGGCCTAGGTGGGAGGTGGTTAGCAGGGTCTTCCAAGTACCTTTTTCCCCCACTGCCAAACATACACAGCTTCCCAATAATAGTTGTGGGGAGAAAGGAGGTGGAGCCTCCCTAGTTTTCATTCCTGCAATATAAGCTCCATCTCCTGCAGAAGTTGGGGGTTAGCCTTGCCTGGCCTGTAGGGACTTTGGTGGGGAAAAGAGCTCTGAAGAGAGGAGGGGGACTTTAGAGAGGGGTGACAATGAGCCCTGGGAGGGTGGAAGGGAAGAGGAGGGGCAGCTGCATGTTTCCTTTCCCTACCTCCCCCCAAATGGAGGGTGGAGCAGTTGCAAGGGAGGGAGTCCATTGCTGTTCAGCCTCAGAATAAAGGCGCCGTTCACTGGCTCAGTTACCTCCTGTGTACCGGCATCTTGTGTTGGGAATCTTCCCTCCTCCCTAGGGACCAAGGACCACTCCTACAAGAGAGTAATATTTGGGTGATACTCCCTTAAGCCAAAGAGGAGCTCCCCAATCTGTCCTAGGGACTCAGGTAACCTAGAAAGGGTGGCAAAGAACACAATGGGCCAGACGTTGGGGGATCCCCCAGTTTTGGGGCTCAGGTTCTCAGAGGACTTGTACCCTCCCTCCTGAAGACCTGGATATGGACTAAACTTGAGTGGGTCAGGCAGGGGGGCCTAGTCAGGGGACTACCTTGCCTTTGGGACCAGAGCAAAATAGTGGAGGGCAGGCTGGGGAGACACAGGCACATCCTCCTCCCCAGGAGGGGCTGGGGAGAGTGGCAGTTTGCATGGCGAACCCCCCACTTCCTCTTTGCTCCCCTTCACTTTCTTGCTGCCCCTCTCCCCGTCTCTTCACACCCACTCCTGGGTCTGTCCCAGTCCCCTCTTCTGTATCAGGTTTATTGGTTGTACATATAAATTATACTTTCCTTTCTGTGTGCTCTGTTATTTTTGAGTGGGGGAGTTCTTTGGTTAGGGGGAGGGCTAAGGGAAGGAAGGGTGTTGCTTCCTGCCATTTCCTATTAGCCATTTCTCTCTCGCTCTCGTTTTAAATCTTGTGACTTTTCCTTTTTCTCGTTTTATTTTTTGGGTCATCAACTAAAACTCTGAGGCTCTTTTTCCAACCCTAACCCCGGTGTGATGAGCTCAGCATAGAGATGGAGGATGAGCAGCAGGATACCTACACAGGCCTCAGGTGGAGGGCAGAGAGCGAGCAGGGCTTACTGCACAGAAGTATAGTGGGAGGGGTGCCTGACAAGGTTCAGAACTGCCTTGCATTCATCCTTTTGATCACCCCATCCACCTTCAAGTTGCTTAGTTCCCCCAAGAGTCAGTAGAGGTCACTACAGCTTCACAGGTTCAGTTCCAAGTTTGCAGAAGCACTGTTTTTTGTTTTGTTTTGTTTTTTAAGGAGTTGGGGGGTTAGGCTTGCATAGCTTGCCAAAGATTTGAACTGCTAGACACTACACCTTGACATGTATTGTTCACTACTAGAGCTTCTCAGAGGTTTAGAGACCGGACACTTAATTTTTGAGGCTATTAAAAAATAAAAGGCAACTCCCACAAGCATTTATTGAGCATTTGCTGTTGTTGTCCTTGGGGATACAACAATCACAAGTGAATCATTGCTCTCATGGAGCTTAAATTCTACTGGGGGACACTGACAGAACACATACTATCACAAAATCAATGAAAAAGTTAAAACAAGGCATTATGTTACAGAAGGTGAGGGAGGAGGCTACACCAGGTTCAATGCTGAGAAAGGCCTCCCAAAGAGGGTATATGGTTACAAAAATTGAGGTTTATTCTTCATTTCACATTTTTAACTTAGAGGAAAATGCAACACAGTAACTTATCCACACAAAGAGTTTAAATTTCTTCAGTAACGGAGTGTCACTTTAGAACCTTCAGTAAATCATATCTTTTATACCAAGTGTGTTTTTAAGTATTCCACCCACAGATAGTGACATCCTACATAGTCTCAGACCTGGACCAATGCTTCTTAAGTTTTTATTTAAATAGATTACCTGGGATTCTTCTTAAAATGCAGAGTCTGATTCAGTCAGTCTGAAGTGGAATCCTGAGATTTTGCACTTCAAACAAGTTCCCAGTGATGATGATGCTATTGGTCCTTGACTATATACTGTTGTAAGATATTAACAGGATTTTAAGTAGAACCCATGCCTTAAAACAAGTGATGGTACACAAGTTTATCTTACCTTTTTTTTTAATACCTTTATTGTGGTATGGTTCCTGTACAGTAAACTACACATATTGCAAATACACAATTTGATGAATTTTCGTAGATGTATATACACCAGTGAAACTACTACCACAATCAAAATAGCTAGCATTTCCATCACTCCCCAAGAGGTGCAATTTTTGAATTCCTAACTTACCCTTCCCACCCCCCTTTACTCCCTGGTAAGTTTGTTCTTTATGTCTGTGAGTCTGTTTCTGTTTTGTAGATAGGTTCATTTGGGGACACAAGTTTAAAACTGTGATGTGCATCTTTCTGCAGTAGTAACAGTGTTTTCTTATGACTGTAAAGATAACAGATACTGTCAGAAGTTTACAAATTGATGCCTCTGCCAAATGGCCTCTCCCTCCTATCCTTGATAGGCTCTAGTGAGGTGACTCAGATAAGTACCTTTTGGACCTTCTCATATTTGCCCTAGATTCTGAAATGAAGTAAGGCTCCTAACCTCATAGGTAGGAATGTATCTCCATAATTTTAGGAATACAGCACTGAGAGTGGGGAGACGTCAGGCATGTCAGCAAGGGGTGGGGTGGAGTATGGTTTATTTTTCTAGTTCTCTTAGGTGTTAGAGAAATGAGATTAATGTTAACATGAAAATCAGCTGTTTCTCTCCTATTCCATCTTTTTTAAACTTTGAAATCATTGACACAGAATTGCTAAAATGGGACCTGTTGCTCCCACACACCAGAGCTGCCCTGGACAAAAGCCAAAGACCTAGCTAGGGAAACAGTCTGTCCTCCTCCCACGGGAACATCGTAGACTTTGTATCTATCATTCCTGGGCCACTCCATCCTGAATATGCAATGCTGGCACAGTCAATAGATGGGGGCGATTCGTCTAGGAGCCTCCCCAGCTCAGTATCAACACCTCCCAGGGCGTTCCCTCCTGCCCTTGGCTCATCTCCCCCATCAGTGCCAATCCGGGATGTGAGAGGGGGTAGTCTCGGCACCAGCCCCCTGTACTACAGCACGCCCCGTGGATGCAGCTCCCACCTTCCTTCTGCCGCAGCTTCAGGGTTCCTCAGTTACAGCGTGCAGCGGGTCATGTGGGCCAAGTCCTTGATCTCCGGACAGTACAGCACTGGGGGAAAGAGGAGGATTAGCAGCGGCAAGACGCGGCCGAACCCCGTCTTTCC